CTATAGACAAAACAAAACTCGCAGCTTTTAGACTGTAAATTGGGTCACAGTTTAACTTAATAATACTTTTACAGCTATCCTGTTCGATTCCTAATTCCCTCTTTCTTTTTAGACGAAGTCTACAATCATTAATCACTTTTAACTCAGATTCTAATTTAAATGTTTGAAAAACGGCTTTTGTAACTAAAATAAAAAATACATGAAAAAATTCTCACAAACAGCTATGAAATATATCAGAGATACAATAATGGACTCACAAAATAAGCAGCAGATTTAAAAAGAAAAGCAAAGCTTTTTGTACTAATCTTTGGGTTTCAAAAACATACTAATTCAAAACTTCTATTCCCTAATGGTGTTTAAAAACGTTTAACTGTGTCTAACACAATGTTCAAATGGCAAATTTAGCAAATTTAACGGAATAACTACTATGAAAAGCCAAAAATCCTAAAGCAGTAGCTTTGCTTCAGATTCAGAGCCAGAGCAGCGAAGGAGGGGGCCGTTTCCCTGACAACGGCAGCAGATAGAGATGTGCACACACAGGCAAAAAGATACAGAAGAATAACTTTCAAGATTACTTTGTTAAGCGAATATAACTGATGTTGTTCTTTATACTTTTGTCATCCAAATCTAGAAGTGATCACTTTCCACACTAGTAACAAAAGGCACTCTTTAGTGTTTAACGTTTCCCTTTTTATAATTACTTTTAATTTTACACCATGGTTTCTCTCAAAGGGACTTTAACTCTGAAGCTTCTTCTCAAAGGGACTTTAACCCCGAGGCTTTTCTCAAAGGGACTTTAACCCCGAGACTTTCTCAAAGGGACTTTAACCCCGAGGCTCAAAGGGACTTTAACCCCGAGACTTTCTCAAAGGGACTTTAACCCCGAGGCTCAAAGGGACTTTAACCCCGAGACTTTCTCAAAATACAATTTAGAGAGTTTGACAGACCCCAAAAACAGACCAAAATTTAGCTAATATCCAATTATGCAGACTTTACATTTAAAAAGGTGTCTGCTTACCTTATTCTTGTCAAACAGGTGCGCACGGACTGTCCGAGAGGTCTGCCAACTCTTTTCCGCGTCGGAATCTTCAATTTAAAAAACAAAAGTGACAGAAGCGACAAGAAGCATCCAGGAACAGCTCTTCCAGCCTGCTGGAATCCCCGCTCCCAGACACAGCATGCCGATCTCTCACGCAGAGGAAAAGAAACAGAGCAAACTCCCCCAAAACAATCCAGAGAATGGCACAAACCGAGCCGTGCATTCTCCACCAAATCTGTTAGGATTTAGGCAGACAGAGACGGATCGTGGTGTGCCAAACTCTGGAAGTTTATTTAAGTTTCTCTCAAGTTCCACTGGTTTACTCTGTTTCTTTCTCTCAGACAGAATAAAGGCAGTACACAGTTTATATAGTCATTGTCACGTCACACATCGAAAGACATACGTGTCACAAAGAGACAGTCACATCATAGTCATAACATGGAGTCCTTGTAGAGTCCTTGTACAGTCCTGCACGTAGGCCATATTGCTATCTAATACTAATACCACCATCCCCACCTCAGCTGTAGTTATCTGCAGTTCATCCAGAGTGATCATGGGCCTCTTGGCTGCATCTCTGATCAGTCTTCTCCTTGTTTGAGATGAAAGTTTGGAGGGACGGCCGGGTCTTGGTAGATTTGCAGTGGTCTGATACTCCTTCCATTTCAATATAATTGCTTGCACAGTGCTCCTTGAGATGTTTAAAGCTTGGGAAATCTTTTTGTATCCATCTCTGGCTTTAAACTTCTCCATAACAGTATCTCGGACCTGCCTGGTGTGTTCCTTTGTCTTCATGGTTCTCTCTGTGCTTTAAACAGAACCCTAAGACTATCAAAGAGCAGGTGCATTTATAAGGAGACTTGATTACACACAGGTGCATTCTATTTATCATCATCAGTCATTTAGGACAACATTGGATCATTCAAAGATCCTCACTGAACTTCTGGAGTGAGTTTGCTGCACTGAAAGTAAAGGGGCCGAATAATATTGCATGCCCCACTTTTCAGTTTTTTATTTGTTAAAAAAGCTTAAATTATCCAATAAATTTCATTCCACTTCACGATTGTGTCCCACTTGTTGTTGATTCATGACAAAAAATTAAAATGTTATATCTTTATGTTTGAAGCCTGAAATGTGGCGAAATGTTGAAAGGTTCAAGGGGGCCGAATACTTTCGCAAGGCACTGTATGTGTCATATAAAGAAAATAACTTTTTGATCAGCCACAAACTCTTGGACACTGCATATAATAATAAGTATATAATGTCTAACTCCAAAGTAGCATAATATTAATCTATAGACTGTAGACCTACTGTGTGAATGTTAAAACATTTGAACTGTGAATTGGGTTTCTCCAGTCAAGAGCTTGGCCGGAGTACTTACATTCTCTTCACTCACTTGATGTCATTCTGTCTGAGTCTCAGTGCATCTTTAGAAGCCTGCCGGAGCTTTGGCAGGTGTACAGCATGGCTGAGCAGGGATCTGGTCTCACATAAATGTAAATGAGTGACATGCTCCCTGTGAGTGCTGTTGCGCCATGTGACAAACTAATGCCACAGCGTTATATACAGTCTATATCAGCCGCCCTGAGCTGAACGGCTGAGGGCTGTCCCCTGACATGTGCGGCTCTGGTCTTGACACACCCAGGATGCCACGGGCAGATGGTGTGTCCTAGGGCAGCGGCAGGGCACCCTCTCCCCAAAACCACACGCTCCTCCTGCTGTCTTCAGTGTATTCAATGTGGAGATATGGCAAGACACATATTGACTCATATTAACCCAGACAAGATTAAGCAATTATCATTCCTGATTTTTGCATAGCATTTTAACTTTAATTGTTTTTTTTTTTTGCATTTCCTCAAGAAATGGACACATAATAATTATTTTGTATTGATGGTTTTTATAAATGTTCACTATTTACAGTAAATAGTGAAAATAATTTGGGATGAGATTGAATTCATCAATCTCATCCTAAATATGTATGTTTTTTTTGTAATTGTAAATTGTGATATTGTATTCTATTAATAAAATGTAAATTAATTTCTGAAATGACAGTGACATATTTTGAATCCCACATTTGTTTGTTATATTCTTGATTTTGGCTTAGTCTATTATCAGTATCTTCTGAGGTTTTTTTAAGCTGTGAGCGTATTATCAACATTGTAACAAATAAAGGCTTATTTATATATAATATGTATATATATATAATGCATACATACATACATTATGTCTTTAGTCTTTTTCAAACTATTCCTTCCTGTTTCTTTTGTAAGTTTTAATGTTTTTATGATGCATATTATTCATTGTTTAAAGTTTAATTTAGCATATGTTTGAAATTTAACATCTTAAGACCACTACTTGCGTTAGTTTCAAACCCATAGTCCATTTACTGAAATACAGAAATAAAATTACTTTTTAACAACGTTCTAATTTTCCAGAGTTTCACCTGTTGTACTGCGTCAATTAAATACAACATTAAACTGCAAAGTATTCAACCTCAAAATAATTCATCAAAAGAATAATTGTTAGATTCAGCTATTAAAAAGTACATAATGGACTGTTACGCATGATTTATTATCTTTTGTTGCTCTCAGATGACTTTGGACAGCAGATGATGTAATATTATTAAAATTAAGTGCAATTAAAACATTTCCCTTTGAGTGATTTGTGTGAGTAAACTAGGACGATGTTTGAACGGAGTTTCGGGCTGCTGCACAAATTCATAGAAGCGAAACCTTCAGAGCCTGTAATTACATTGTAACAAGAAGTAGCTATTTTCCCTAAAACAGTAGGAAAAAGAGCATCGGAGAGTTCAGCACAAACTACAGAGGTTCACGGTTCTAACATAATAACGCTCTTTATAGCAAGCCTTCAGTTAGAGTGATGGTTCTATTTCTGTTTTGCCATTTCAAAGCAATGCAATGCAATTTATTTCCCTGTGTGTGTGTGTGAGATTGGAGATTGCTCATGGACAGAGGTGGACAAGAGAGGCGCTCGACGTCCCACCCAGATTTGCTCCTTGACTGACGAGTGTGTTTATAATGTGGCTAATCTCTTCCTGCTCCTCATGACTCACTGGATGTTGTGCCAGTCAGGTGTCCGATTTCGTCAGTATTTGCATAGTGTTGAGCTGAGAATCAGTCATTTTCAGATTGCAAACGTGAGGTATAGATATCAGGCACAAAGTTCCACAGTAGTACGCATTACAAGATTTTGTGACACTATTTTGAATGAAACATCTTAAATTTTACATGAAAAAAAACTCCATCCTGAGGAAATGTCTCCGTTCGACATCAGATAAAAACATTTGGCCAGTGTGATGTCCAGCTACTCACTGCAATTAGTAATGGCTCAGTGGACATAAATCTCAGTGAATGTGGTTCTCTAAACTGTTGAAATGTTCCACTTGTTCTTTGTTCATGGTGAAATGGAATTTAGGGATCCTGGTAATATCAGTATTGATGTCAAATTGTTTCCACCTATCGTTAATTATATGTGTTTATGTATATTTCCCAGTTTGTTTGAAACAGACTAAATAGAATTGGAAAGCCTGTATAATGTCCTTTTTATGTTTACTCAATCAGACAGCCAACTATTTAACATTTCAGATTCTCAGCCTCCAACATTGGTCACCGTTGTTTATTGTCCACATCGTCATATTCGCACCATCTAAATGTAACAAGTTCATATTATTTCTATTCATAATACATGTCTCTGATGAAAGTTGTGTCAGCTTTTCGCGATAACCCATTTCTGATCCTGGCATGTTATTTCTATGGTCGTTTTTTTATTATTTTTTTATCTGTGACCTGCCTGAGTGGACATATCTCCCCAGCCCTGTGGGTCATTCCTGGGGGCATTGGAAAACTGTACTCTCATCCATGTTCTAGTGCTCAGCAGAGCGGCAAAACGATTTCTCTTTTCAGCTGTTTGTGACTACACCTCACCTTTCATTTTTCCTCTACAGCCTATTATTCTGGAAGACTATGCGGATCCTTTCGACGCCGAACAGGCCGGGGGCATTCAGCCTACGATGGAGAAAGTGACAACGGAGAATGATGGCTACATGGAGCCATACGAGGCACAGAAGATGATGGCAGGTAGGAGCGCAGTCTGTTCACTTCGAGTTCCTTATTTATTGCCACGCTCACCCCTCATAAATGAATATAGAACAGAAAATCTTTTGGTCTAATCTTTTTTGTGCTGTCATTTATTGAATGGAACTCTGATGGTTCCCTGCTGCTCTACATGACAGGTGCAGCAGAGCAGAAATGACCTTAGTGTCAGGGCAGATGTCAAAATATTTTTTTGCCTTTCCTATTATAATTAGAGAGTAAATCTTTGTTCTAACCTTGGGAGTCATCCGCTTGTACTTTTTTACTGACTTTTATGACTATTGAAGTTGAATCACATTGAGAAAATCTTGTAATGAGTAGCAACAAATAATACCCCATGTTACCACCACACATTTTTATTATTTTTGTACTAAAAGACCACAATAAAGTAACTTTGAAGTTACATCAAAATTATAGGTGATGAAAAAATGATTAACTGAAAAAGAGCCCTGCAAAACACACTTTCACAGGGCGCTGTATATGAGAGGCCACCACTTATTTTCTCTAGTGTATATAAGCAATTCAATTACATTTACCGGTATTTTTGCATATTTCACAACTGTAGTTGTCTCAGAGGACTTTACAAGTTTCGTCAGTAATAGATCGGAGAATCAAACTGTTTGAACACAGGAAATACAATAATAACAAACACATTGGTCGTACCGCTCCTTGTAGACCAATGTCCATAAATGATGAGTGGGGGTGCATTCTTGTAGTAAGTAATTATCCTTAAGAATATTGTCAGTGCCACATCAATCAAATGTTTCAAGAACGCATTGTTAATGGGATATTATGGGTCCAAAATAGGGATAGTTCTTTAAATCTTAAACAATCTCCTTCTTTCATTTCACATAAACAAGGCTCACATGGACAGGACATGAAAGTCTTTGTAGCCAATTTATTTTAATGGCTCTCCAGACGATCTCCTGGTGTCGTTTGTCTTCTCTGTGTTTGACCCTTCGCCCAGTCCCAACCTCTGCCCTGATAGAAAAGCTGATTTATGGTTTCTCACAGGTAGAGGAGGCAGTGGAAATGGAGCTGTGTTTGTCAGCCTGCTTGTTAGCTTTTAAACTCCTAGAAAAGAATATAAGAGATAACAGGGATGTGTTTTTGTTGAACTGAAAGGCACATATTCTCCTCCTAGTGACCTGTACAAAAATTATACATTCCAACCGCTTCACTTTTTGTTTTTACTATACCTGTATATTATTTTTGAGTGACTACTGCCACTGATTTTTCCATATCATTGATTTAAAAGATGGTCTTCATTATGACGTTTTCAGGAGGTGTTAGAAATACGTTGAAAAGATTTATGGATCAGGAAATGCCAGAAAATTGCCCTTTACTGTAAATGGCAAAAGAGAGATGGAATAACCGTTCATACAGGCAAATCGCTTCCATATTCTAGACTCTTTTCCTATGCAGCAGCTCGTGATAGGAGTTCTCTTCAGTTTGGATAGTACTGCCTCCAAATCTTTCTAAAGGCTCCATTTATCTGAGAATTTGCATTTTTGTATGGGCACATAGGAAGGTGCTGCAAGAAAACAGAACAGGTGTGCAAACGCCTAATGTACTTGGCCTACACAATAACACATGTATTGTTAAGAAATTGAAACAGTTTAAACCACTTTGCCATTTGCATTATTGCAATATAGCCCACAAGTGCTTTCAGCCGCAATCACTGCATAGAAACAAATAAACAGCAGAATTCACAAACTAAAAGTGAAATCACATCAAAAAGATTACAGATATTTTTCTTATACCACATGTGTCAAACATCAAGGAATTTTTAGTGGCCCCTGAACTGATGTTCAATATCTAATGAATGATACGGCTACCATGACATGTTATTGTTGTCAAGAAAACAATCACATCTTTTTAATTCATTCTAAAATGTTAACTCAAACAACACGTAATTAGAAATAGTTAAGTGAAACAAATCGATCTTCATCAGTCTTCAATTTCAAGCTTTGGTCCAGTTTTGGTTCTGTCCAAACAAACTGTAGCTGCACTCATTGTGTTCAGGAAAAGACTACCAGAAAATAAATTCATGTTAAATAAAAATATTTTTTTTTGTCAAAACATGTCCACAATCTGCAAGATAATGTGAAATAATATCTCTAACGTTTAACTAAGACAACCACTACAATAGTTTTGGCCCCCATTCAGCTATTACTTTTTGTATTCGCCCCAACCAAAATGAGTTTGACACCCTTATTCGATACTTCTAAATTCCTTCCACTCGTTTCTTCTGCTGTGACTGGACACAGTGGGAGGTATGACACGTGAAGCCCGCTGTGGTTTGCGTCCGTGAGCAGAGTCCCCTGGTGCAGTGTGTGGGGCTCATATGTCGCTGCCTGTGCCCTGATTTATGAGGCTGCTGTCGGGGCGGTGTCATAACTTCCTTAACCTGAACCCTCTCCCTTTCCTCCACCACCTGCAGTTATGGAGAAGTCTTTACAGCGTTTCCTGTGTGCCTGCGATGTGTGTCGTGTCTACACACAACATCACACGGTATCTTTGTAGCTGCTGACTGTGTGTGGACGCTGAAAGCTCACCCTGTCAGCCCATGTTTTGCTGTGTTGCAAAGAGGGCCGTGTCATTGTCTATCAAGAGAATGCAACTATAGCGGCTTGTGAGTGGTACAAATACTTAATAAATCCCTTGTGCTACCCTCAGGTCAAAATGACCCGCCACAGATGATTTAAAGTAGAATTGAATTAGAGTTTAAAATTGTCTAATGACAAGGGCTGGTCAAGTTATGAAAAAACATCAAAAGTCACCTTGAAAAATATTATTTAGGGTATTTTTTAAGCACTGTGACGGGTCAATTTAAGCCGAGGATTTCAAGAGTAGTCATGAAAAATTATATATTCAATGTAATTTACAAAATTGTGGGCAGCGCTTTTGGTGACATTGGTCTGTGAAATAAAGATTACTTACTTACACTTTGAAAAATGGAGACCCTAGGAAACTAACAAAAAATATTAATTTACTAAAATATCATTACAAGATACAGAAGCAGAGCAAGCCTTTGAACTGGGTTTTTTAACGTTGTCATTTGATACTTGTTTTGACTCCAAATTAGTTACTTGTAGAATAATTAGGCCATTATTACCTGAAGCTTGATGGTGACAAAAACATCAGCAGAATTTGATATATTAACTGTTTGTAAATGTTGTGACCTGTTTGCCTTACAAGGGGCGGGCAGGTCTTCGGGGCAGTGTACGTCAAAGCATTTCTCAATGAACTCTCTGACACACTCCCCCTCGCTGCGTTGACACATGTAAGACTTCCCACACTGTAATAGTGGGCTGTTGTGCAAACACTTAGAACCAACACACAATCGTTTTATTGTGAGTTGGTTCTATCTCCTAATGGTAAGTTTTGTGCGAGTTAGTCATACATTTTCCTTCCTCCCTCTTATTTTTTCATGCCAATGATTGTTGTCACTGTATTGTCAATTCAATCATAAAGAAAAAGTTGTGCAATATTCTGCAAAGTGAAACATGTTGTTTTCCTGAAGTGTTGACTCATTTTATGAGCTTTCCAACTTTGTTCCTGAAAAGTATGCTGGGAAATGTGTCACATTCCTGGTATCCATGGTCACTTTCCCAATGAGAATAAATGAGTTTGTTTCAGTTTCTCACAATGGAGTTTGTACAATATGTACGTGGCTCTGTTGTACCAGAGCTTAGACTCTAGTCCAACATTGACCCGGAATCACACCCAGAGGCCAATGTCGGTAAACAAACTGGAAACATGGTTATTTAACTTTGCATTTTTCCATTTGTGACATAATTCTTTTGGTTAGGCCTTTCCATCACTGTTAGCTCAGAGTATAACGAAAGGCTTAAGCATGACCTCAGCAATGCATTTGTGCACTACCGGTCATTATAGGCTTCCAAAAATAAACCACGCCAACATGGCCAGTGGCTGAAGCAGGGACATGCAAGTGAATAATTGACACCTTACTCCTTCCGCTTAATCTCAAAACAACTACAGTTTACTACAACCAATACAAGCACAGCTGCTCCCTCTGCCAACTTCCTTCTACCACATTCAAAATAATGTTAATTTATGAAGATGCAAAGGCCATATGAAGGTAGAATTACAGAATGTGTACAATTCACTGATTACATATGTCAAAGCACCCTTGCTTGATCCCTTTCATGGGAAAGATATGAACGCCAGGTTGGTAGTTAAATAGTGTTCCAATTTAGAGCTTGCCCACTGCCCAAACCCCATGAGGTTTGAAGGTTTGATTGGCAGTTCTCACAAACTGAACTGACAGCATGTTTCAATGACACAAGATAGTGTTGCTGGGCTTTGGTGTCCTGTAATGTGTGTTGCTTTCTTTCTACCCTAACACGGTTAAGGCAGACACATGCTCTTGCCAATCTGTGTATTGTTATTGTACTACTACATTAAAACAATGTGTATATTATCAGGTCACATAATCCCTTAATGTACAAACTGAGGTAGTTCTCTAAGCAGACTCTCGAGGATCTAGGAGAAGACAGGATGACAGAAGACTGAAGACATATTGATGAAATGAGATATCTCTGGCAGTAGTCCCATCTGTCCCTCCCTCTCGCTCAGTGATGAATCCTCCCACTTCACTCTGGCACTGCTGCAGAACACTTGCAAAAAGAACAACATTACTCAATCAGTTATCAATTTAAGGTGCAACAATGCATTTATTGTTTTCTATGTTACACAGTTATAATTTAGTGCTATACTGGGCGCAGCTTTGCCAATTCCTGGTCGAATTGCAAATTAAAACCCTTTTTTTTGCATACAGCCATGTTCCTCAGAGGGGGAGGAGTAGAGGAGGGTCTGGGCTTACTCTCCGCAGGTTGGAGGCGCTGAAGTCATTCATTTTAGAGGCAAGATTAATGATGCCATTAATACATGTCTGGGCCTCTGCAGGGGAGGACAGGGCACAATTTATACCCAGTGCTGGCAGGAAGGCCCTTGGGCAC